GGACTGGGGGGGACTGGAAGGGACTGGGAGGGACTGGGGGGCACTGGGAGGGACTGGGACAAAATGGGATGGAATTGGGAGAAACTGGGAGGGACTGGGACAAACTGGGAGGGGACTGGGACAAACTGGGAGGCACTGGGATGGACTGGGATGGACTGGGGGGGCAGTGGGATGGACTGGGCTGAACTGGGCCAAAGTGGGAGGGGTCAGGGCCCAGTCCCAGTCCCAAACTGGTCCCAGTTGGGGCACTCACGGCGTAGAGCAGGATCCGGTTCTCCTTGTCCTCCTTGGGGTACAGCATGTTGTTACTGGGCAAACTGGGATTACTGGGAGGCTCCGGGGGGAAATTCCCGCCCTTTTCCTCCACAAAATCCCCAATTTTCCACCTCAAAATTCCCCATTTTTCACCTCAAAATTCCCAATTTTTCCCCCACAAAATCCCCAATTTTTCCCCAAAAAATCCCCAATTTTTCACCTCAAAATTCCCAATTTTTCCCCACATAATTCCCAAATTTCCCCCACAAAATTCCCAATTTTTCCCCTGAAAATTCCTAATTTTTTACTTTGAAATTCCCACTGTTTCCCCCCTGAAAATTCCCAATTTTTCCCCACAAAATTCCCTAATTTCCTCCACAAAATCCCCAAATTTCCCCCACAAAATTCCCAATTTTCCCCTCAAAATTCCCACCGTTTTCCCTCTCAAAATTCCCAATTTTTCCTCACAAAATTTCCACAGCTTTCCCCTCAAATATCCCGGTTTTTCACCTCACAATCCCCTGTATTTTTTCCCCTCACAATTCCCTGTATTTTCTCCCTCACAATTCCCAATTTTTCCCCTCAGAATTCCTGATTTTTCCCATCACCATTTCCACCATTTTCCCCTCAAAACTCCCAATTTTTTCCCTCACAATTCCCAATTTTCTCCCTCACCATTTCCACCCTTTTCCCCTCACAACTCTATTTTTCCCCTCATGCTTCCCTTTTTTTCCCCCCTCACAATTCCCAATTTTTCCCCTCACCATTTCCACCCTTTTCCTCTCACAATTCCCTCTATTTTCCCCCTCACAATTCCCAATTTTTCTCCCCACACAATTCCCTGTATTTTTCCCCCTTACAATTCCCTGTGTTTCTCCCTCACAATTCCTGACGTTTTCCCCTCACAATTCTCGTTTTTTCCCCCTCACACTTTCCCAATTCCCTGTATTTTCTCCCTCACAATTCCCAATTTTTCCCCTCAAAATTCCCAATTTTCCCCCTCACAATTCCCAATTTTACCCCTCACCATTTCCACCCTTTTCCCCTCACAACTCTCTCTATTTTTCCCCTCATGATTCCCTTTTTTTCCCCCTCACAATTCCCAATTTTTCCCCTCAAAATTCCCAATTTTCCCCCTCACAATTCCCAGTTTTTCCCCCCACAATTCTCTCTATTTCTCCCCTCACAACTCACGTTTTCCCCCCACACAATTCCCTGTATTTTTCCCCCTTACAATTCCCAATGTTTCTCCCTCACAATTCCCGATGTTTTCCCCTCAAAATTCCCGTTTTTTTTCCCTCACATTTCCCCTTTTTTCTCCCCAAAATTCACAAATTTCCCCCTCACAATTCCCTTTTTTCCCCTCACAATTCCCTCTATTTTCCCCCTCACAATTCTCTGTATTTTCCCCCTCACAATTCCCAATTTTTCCCCTCACCATTTCCACCCTTTTCCTCTCACAATTCCCTCTATTTTCCCCCTCACAATTCCCAATTTTTCTCCCCACACAATTCCCTGTATTTTTCCCCCTTACAATTCCCTGTGTTTCTCCCTCACAATTCCTGACGTTTTCCCCTCACAATTCTCGTTTTTTCCCCCTCACACTTTCCCATTTTCTCCCCAAAATTCACAAATTTTCCCCTCACAATTCCCGTTTTTCCTCTCACAATCCTCTGTATTTTTCCCCTCACGATTCCCTGAGTTTTTTCCCTCACAGTTCCCGATATTTTCCCCTCACAATTCCCGGGTTTTTCCCTCACACTTCCCCTTTTTTCCCCCTCAAAATTCACACATTTCCCCCTCACAATCCCTGTATTTTCTCCCTCACAATTCCCGATGTTTTCCCCTCAAAATTCCCGTTTTTTTTCCCTCACATTCCTGCCGTGTTTCCCTTAGTTCCCAGTATTTTTTCCCATCACAATTCCCAATATTTTTCTCCTTCACATTTCCCGCCTCACAATTCCCGATGTTTTCCCGGTTTTTCCCCCTCACAATTCCCAACTTCTCCCCTCACGATTCCTGCCGTGTTTCCCTTAGTTCCCAGTATTTTTTCCCATCACAATTCCCAATATTTTTCTCCTTCACATTTCCCGATATTTTTTTCCCTCACAATTCCCAGTTTTTGCCCTCACCATTTCCGCCGTTCTCCCCTCCAAATTCCCAGTTTTCCTCCTCACAATTCCCGCTTTTCCCCTCACAATCCTCTGTATCTTTCCCCTCAGGATTCCCGATGTTTTTCCCCCAGGATTCCCGATGTTTTCCCCTCACAATTCCCGTTTTCCCCTCACGATTCCCTGTATTTTCCCCCTCACAATTCCCGACGTTTCCCCCTCACAATTCCCACTGTTTCCCCTTCACATTTCCCGATATTTTTTCCCTCTATTTCTGTCTTTAAATAAGGAACTACTTCACTGGAAGAATCCTACAGCTGTATTTTTGAGATTCTCTAGGGAATCTGAATATAAAAGCAGTCTAATTCGACAGTGGGGATGGGGTGTGCAAACATAATATTTACCTGTATTTTTCCCCCTTACAATTCCCAGTGTTTCTCCCTTACAATTACCGGTTTTCCCCTCACAATTCCCGTTTTTTTCCCCCTCACACTTCCCCTTTTTTCTCCCCAAAATTCACAAATTTTCCCCTCACAATTCCCGATGTTTTCCCCTCACAATCCTCTGTATTTTTCCCCTCACGATTCCCTGAATTTTTTTCCCTCACAATTCCCGATGTTTTCCCCTCACAATTCCCGTTTTTCCTCACACAATCCTCTGTATTTTTCCCCTCACGATTCCCTGAATTTTTTTCCCTCACAATTCCCGATGTTTTCCCCTCACAATTCCCGTTTTTCCTCACACAATCCTCTGTATTTTTCCCCTCACGATTCCCTGAGTTTTTTCCCTCACAGTTCCCGATATTTTCCCCTCACAATTCCCGGGTTTTTCCCTCACACTTCCCCTTTTTTCCCCCTCAAAATTCACACATTTCCCCCTCACAATCCCTGTATTTTCTCCCTCACAATTCCCGGTTTTTCCCCCTCACAATTCCCAACTTCTCCCCTCACGATTCCTGCCGTTTTTCCCTTAGTTCCCAGTATTTTTTCCCATCACAATTCCCAATATTTTTCTCCCTCACATTTCCCGATATTTTTTCCCTCACAATTCCCAGTTTTTGCCCTCACCATTTCCGCCGTTCTCCCCTCCAAATTCCCAGTTTTCCTCCTCACAATTCCCGCTTTTCCCCTCACAATCCTCTGTATCTTTCCCCTCAGGATTCCCGATGTTTTCCCCTCAGGATTCCCGACGTTTTCCCCTCACAATTCCCGTTTTCCCCTCACGATTCCCTGTATTTTCCCCCTCACAATTCCCGACGTTTCCCCCTCACAATTCCCACTGTTTCCCCTTCACATTTCCCGATATTTTTTTCCCTCACAATTCCCAGTTTTTGCCCTCACCATTTCCGCCGTTCTCCCCTCCAAATTCCCAGTTTTCCTCCTCACAATTCCCGCTTTTCCCCTCACAATCCTCTGTATCTTTCCCCTCAGGATTCCCGATGTTTTCCCCTCAGGATTCCCGACGTTTTCCCCTCACAATTCCCATTTTCCCCTCACGATTCCCGCTATTCCCCGCTGCCCCCCGCCTGTCCCCCCCCGCCTCTCCCCGTGCATCCCCGGCGCATTCCCGCTGTTTCCCCCCCCACATTCCCGGTGTTTTCCCCGTGTTTTCCCTCACCATTCCTGACAGAACCGGATCCCCACAAAGCCCGGCTCGTACGCGCCGTCCCCGTCCATGGCTGCGCGGACACGCCCCTTTCCGCCTCCTCCCTCATTCCATTGGTCAAACCACCCGTCAATCATTCACTTTCCAGCTTCTTATTGGTCAACACTCCCTAGGACGGGCTCCCTTACTCCTATTGGCCGATTCTATTTACCCCGCCCATTCTTTATTTTATTGGTCATCCACTCTTAGACACGCCCCACTCATATTTTTATTGGCTAAGCTTCTATTTTCCCCTCCCTTTCTCTCTTCCTATTGGCCAACCCTCATTTATCCCGCCCTTTATGCCTCTATTGGGTAATTTTCTCTTAGTCCCACCTTTTCTCGATCGCTATTGGTCGGTTTCTCTCACGTGATCTCATCTGGCAGCTCTGATTGGCCGCTCCCTCACCGGTCCCGGCTGTGGCGGCCCGTGAAGGTTCCAGAAGCGGCTCCGGTTCGGGCGGGCCCGGAACCGTTCGGGGGTCCCGGTTCGGGAGACCCGGAGGCTCCCGGAGGGGCTCGGCGAGCTGCCGGAGGAGCCTGGGTGTGTCCGGGGCTCCCGGTTCGGTTCCGGTTGGGCGGTACCGGTAGGGCCCGGTCGGTACCGGAGCCATGAACGGCGGCGGGACCGGGCCGGGCCCGGTGTGGCTGGCGGTGAGCAGCTCCCTGAACGCTTTCCGTGCCTGTAAACGCTTCTCGCCTTCGCTCACCATCGCCGAGCTCAAGGTACCGGACCGGGAGAACGGGAATGGGACCGGGAGAATGGGAACGGGACCGGGATAAGGGAACCGGGACCGGGATAAGGGAACCGGGCTGGTTGATAAGGGAGACCGGGATAAAGGGATAAAGGGAAGGGGAGCGGGACACCGGAAGCCGGGAGAAGGGGAATGGGACCGGGATAAGGGAACGGGGATAAAGGGAATGGGACCGGGAGAACGGGAATGGGACCGGGATAAGGGAACGGGGATAAAGGGAATGGGACCGGGAGAACGGGAATGGGACCGGGATAAGGGAACGGGGATAAAGGGAATGGGACCGGGAGAACGGGAATGGGACCGGGATAAGGGAACGGGGATAAAGGGAATGGGACCGGGAGAACGGGAATGGGACCGGGATAAGGGAACGGGGATAAAGGGAATGGGACCGGGAGAACGGGAATGGCACCGGGAGAAGGGAACGGGTAACGGAGACAGGACCGGGATAATGGGATTGGGATAACGGGAATGGCACCGGGAGAAGGGAACGGGTAACGGGGACAGGGCCGGGATAATGGGATTGGGATAACGGGAATGGCACCGGGAGAACGGGAACGGGAGCCAGGGTAGTGGGAACAGGAACGGGAGAATGGGAGCCGGGATAACGGGGATGGATCCGGGATAACGGGGATGGATCCGGGATAACGGGAACGGGACTGGAAGAACGGGAGCGGGAATCGAAACGGGATGAAGGGAGTGGATCTGGGATAACGGGAATAGGGCTGGAAGAACGGGACAGCGGGAATGGGAGCGGGATAAGGAACTGGGAGAACGGGAACCGGGGTGGGAGGATAGGGATAACGGGAATGGGATCGGGAGAATGGGATCGGGAGAATGGGAACGGGATAACGGGAATCAGACTGGGAGAAAGGGATTGGGAGAATGGGATTGGGACTGGGTGAATGGGAATGGGAACGGGATAACGGGAACGGGATAACGGGAACGGGATAACGGGAACGGGATAACGGGAACGGGATAACGGGAACCGGGAGAATGGGAACGGGACCGGGATAAGGGAACCGGGACCGGGGTAAGGGAACCGGGCTGGTTGATAAGGGAGACCGGGATAAAGGGAAGGGGAGCGGGACAACGGAAGGCGGGAGAAGGGGAATGGGACCGGGATAAGGGAACGGGTATAACGGGATAAAGGGAATGGGACCGGGAGAACGGGAATGGCACCGGGAGAAGGGAACGGGTAACGGAGACAGGACCGGGATAATGGGATTGGGATAACGGGAATGGGAGCGGAAGAACGGGAACGGGAGCCAGGGTAGTGGGAACAGGAACGGGAGAATGGGAGCCGGGATAACGGGGATGGATCCGGGATAACGGGGATGGATCCGGGATAACGGGAACGGGACTGGAAGAACGGGAGCGGGAATCGAAACGGGATGAAGGGAGTGGATCTGGGATAACGGGAATAGGGCTGGAAGAACGGGACAGCGGGAATGGGAGCGGGATAAGGAACTGGGAGAACGGGAACCATGGGAACGGGACCGGGATAACGGGAACGGGAGAATGGGATTGGGAGTGGGTTAATGGGAATGGGAGAATGGGATTGGGATTGGGTCTGGGTTAATGGGAATGGGAACGGGATAACGAGAATGGATCAGGGATAACGGGAATAGGGCTGGAAGAATGGGACAGCGGGAATGGGAACGGGAGAATGGGAATGGGATAACGGGAATGGGATAACGGGAACCAGACTGGAAGAATGGGATTGGAACTGGGTTAATGGGAACGGGACCGGGATAATGGGAATGGGAGAACGGGAACGGGATAACAGGAACCAGACTGGAAGAATGGGATTGGAACTGGGTTAATGGGAACGGGACCGGGATAATGGGAATGGGAGAACGGGATTGGGAGTGGGATAACGGGAACAGGAGAATGGGATTGGGATTGGGGGAATGGGAATGAGACCGGGGGAATGGGAACGGGACTGGGATAACGGGAACTGGGATGGTGGGAATGTGATCGGGAGAACGGGAACGGGACGGGGATAACAACAGTGGAACCGGGATAACGGAACGGGGATGGTGGGAACGGGACAATGGGAACGGAACTGGCCACTCCCAGTGCCATCCCCAGTGTCCCCAGTGTCCCCAGTGCCATCCCCAGTGTCCCCAGTACCTCCCCCAGTGCCATCCCCAGTGTCCCCAGTACCTCCCCCAGTGCCATCCCCAGTGCCACTCCCAGTGCCATCCCCAGTGTCCCCATGTCCCCTCCCAGTGCAAACTGGAGCTGCTGGTGCGGTCCCTGTGGCCCTCCCGGTGTCCCCAGTGCCACTCCCAGGGTCCCCGATGTCCTCAGTGTCTCCAGTGCCACTCCCAGTGTCCCCAGTGTCCCCACGTCCCCTCCCAGTACAAACTGGAGCTGCTTCATGTCCTGCACAGAGCTGGAGCTGTTCTGTGCAGAGGATGAACCCTTGGGGACACTGGGCTGGGACTGTCTCAATGTCCCCAGTGCCACTCCCAGGGTCCCCGATGTCCTCAGTGTCTCCAGTGCCACTCCCAGTGTCCCCAGTGTCCCATGTCCCCTCCCAGTGCAAACTGGAGCTGGTGGTGGGGTCCCCGGTGTCCTGCATGGAGCTGGAGCTGTTTGGCGCCGAGGACGAGCCCTTGGGGACACTGGACTGTGACACCCCCAGTGCCACTCTTGGTGCCCCAGTGCCACTCCCAGTGTCCCCAGTGTCCCATGTCCCCTCCCAGTGCAAACTGGAGCTGGTGGTGGGGTCCCCGGTGTCCTGCATGGAGCTGGAGCTGTTTGGCGCCGAGGACGAGCCCTTGGGGACACTGGACTGGGACTGTCTCAGTGTCCCCAATGTCACTCCCAGTGCCACTCCCCGTGTCCCCAGTGCCACAACTGGGACCCCCCAAACCCCAAACCGGGAACCCCAAACTGGGATCCCCCAAACCCCAAAGTGGGAACCCAGACTGGGATCCCCCAAACCCCAAAGTGGGAATCCCAAATCCCAAAGTGGGAACCCCCAAACTGGAACCCCCAAACTGGGAGACCCCAACCCCCAGACTGGGATCTCTCCTTGGGGACCCTGGACTGTGACACTCCCAGTGCCACTCCTGGTGTCCCCAGTGCCACTCCCGGTGTCCCCAGAGTCCCATGTCCCCTCCCAGTGCAAACTGGAGCTGCTGGTGGGGTCCCCATGTCCTGCATGGAGCTGGAGCCGTTCAGTGCCGAGGACGAGCCCTTGGGGACACTGGACTGGGACACTCTCAGTTCCACTCCTGGTGTCCCCAGTGCCACTCCCCGTGTCCCCGGTGCCACTCCCAGTGTCCCCAGTGTCCCATGTCCCCTCCCAGTGCAAACTGGAGCTGGTGGTGGGGTCCCCGGCGTCGTGCATGGAGCTGGAGCTGTTCGGTGCCAGGGACGAGCCCTTGGGGACACTGGACTGTGACACTCCCAGTGCCACTCCTGGTGTCCCCAGTGCCACTCCCGGTGTCCCCAGTGTCCCCAGTGCCACTCCCAGTGTCCCCAGTGTCCCATGTCCCCTCCCAGTGCAAACTGGAGCTGGTGGTGGGGTCCCCAGCGTCATGCATGGATCTGGAGCTGTTCGGCGCCGAGGACGAGCCCTTGGGGACACTGGACTGTGACGAGGCCCTGCTGGGCTCCTACCCCGTCACCGACGGCTGCCGCGTGCACGTGGGTGTCACCCCGTCCCCCCGTGTCCCCTCCCGCTGTCCCCAGGGTGGGGATGGCCCCACTGAGGGACGGTGCCACCCCCCTGCAGGTGACCGACCGGAGCGGGGCCCGCGTCGGGCAGTTCGAGGACGTGTCACAAGTGGCCAAGTACGAGATGGCCGAGAGCGACTACGACAAGAGGACAGGTGGCCTTGGGGACATCGGGGACATCGGGCGGGTTGGGGACATTGGTGGTGTTGGGGACTGTGGGGTTTGGGGACATTGGGGGTGTTGGGGACATGGGAGGTGTTCGAGGTGTTGGGGACATTGGAAGGGCTGGGGACATTGGAGCTGTTGGGACATTGGGGTTTGGGGACCTTGGGGGTGTTTGGGACATTTGGGACATTGAGGTGTTGGGGACATTGGGGACAGTGGAGATGTTGGGGACATGGGAATTTGGGGACATTGGGGGATTTGGGGACATTGGAGGTGTTTGAGGTGTTGGGGACATTGGAGATGTTGGGGACATTGGAAGGGCTGGGGACATTGGGGACACTGGGGGATGTTGAGGACCCTGGGGACATTGAGGTGTTGGTGACGTTGGGGACATTGGGGGTGTTGAGGACAATGAGGACATTGGGGACATCGGGGGGATTGGGGACATGTTTGAAGTGACCAAGTAAGAGATGGCTGCGAGCAACTACGACAAGAGGACAGCGTGTCCCTGTCCCCAAAGTGCCACCCCTGATGTCCCCTGATGTCCCCTCGATGTCCCCGCTGAGTCCCTGCGCTCCTGGGGCTGCTGGGACCGAGAACGGGAACGGGAGCAGTACCGGGAACGGGAGCGGGATCAGGAATAGGAACGGGCCCAGCGTGTCCCTGTCCCCAAAGTGCCACCCCTGATGTCCCCTGATGTCCCCTCGATGTCCCCGCTGAGTCCCTGCGCTCCTGGGGCTGCTGGGACCGAGAACGGGAACGGGAGCAGTACCGGGAACGGGAGCGGGATCAGGAATAGGAACGGGACCAGCGTGGCCCTGTCCCCTGAGTGCCACCCTGCCATGTCCCCTCGATGTCCCCGCTGAGTCCCTGCGCTCCTGGGGCTGCTGGGACCGAGAACGGGAACGGGAGCAGTACCGGGAACGGGAGCGGGATCAGGAATAGGAACGGGACCAGCGTGTCCCTGTCCCCAAAGTGCCACCCCTGATGTCCCCTGATGTCCCCTCGATGTCCCCACAGAGTCCCTGCACTCCTGGGGCTGCGGGGACGGGGAACGGGAGCAGGAATAGGAACAGGACCGGGAATAGGAACAGGACTGGGACCAGGGTGTCCCTGTCCCCAAAGTGCCACCCCTGATGTCCCCTGGATGTCCCCACAGAGTCCCTGCACTCCTGGGGCTGCGGGGACGGGGAACGGGAGCAGGAATAGGAACAGGACCGGGAATAGGAACAGGAATAAGACCAGGAATAGGAACAGGACTGGGACCAGGGTGTCCATGTCCCCAAAGTGCCACCCTGCCATGTCCCCTGATGTCCCCGCAGAGTTTAGGAACAGGACTGGGACCAGGGTGTCCCTGTCCCCAAAGTGCCACCCCTGATGTCCCCTGGGTGTCCCCACAGAGTCCCTGCGCTCCTGGGGCTGCTGGGACCGGGAATGGGACCAGGAATGGGAACGGGAATAGGGCTGGGACCGAGAATGGGAACGGGAGCAGTACCGGGAACGGGAGCAGGAACGGAAAGAGGAATAGGAACAGGACCGGGAATAGGAACAGAAATAAGACCAGGAACAGGCTCAGGAACGGGACCAGCGTGTCCCTGTCCCCAAAGTGCCACCCTGACATGTCCCCTAATGTCCCCGCAGAGTCCCTGCGCTCCTGGGGCTGCTGGGACCGAGAACGGGAACGGGAGCAGTACCGGGAACGGGAGCAGGACCAGGAATAGGAACGGGACCAGCGTGTCCCTGTCCCCAAAGTGCCACCCTGACATGTCCCCTAATGTCCCCGCAGAGTCCCTGCGCTCCTGGGGCTGCTGGGACCGGGAATGGGACCGGGAATGGGAACGGGAATAGGGCTGGGACCGAGAATGGGAACGGGAGCAGGATCAGGAATAGGAACAGGAACGGGATCAGGAGTGGCACCAGTGCGTCCCTGTCCCCAAAGTGCCACCCCTGATGTCCCCTGCTGTCCCCGCAGAGTCCGTGCGCTCGTTCCTGCGGCAGCGCTCGTGGGGCCGCTGATGTCGGGAGCGGGAGCAGGAGCGGGAGCGGGAATAGGAACGGGACCAGGGAGTCCCTGTCCCCTGAGTGCCACCCTGCCATGTCCCCTGGATGTCCCTGCAGAGTCCCTGTGCTCCTGGGGCTGCAGGGACCGAGAACGGGAACGGGAATGGGACTGAGACCGAGAATGGGACCGGGAGCAGTACCGGGAACGGGAGCAGGACTGGGAACAGGAACGGCACCAGCGTGTCCCTGTCCCCTGAGTGCCACCCCCGATGTCCCTGGGGACATTGGGGACACTGGAGCTGTGGGGACATTGGGGACATTGTGGAGGTGTCAGGGACGTGTCACAAGTGGCCAAGTACGAGATGGCCGAGAGCGACTGCGACAAGAGGACAGGTGCCCTTGGAGACATCGGGGACATCGGGGGGGTTGGGGACTCTGGGGTTTGGGGACATTGGAGCTGTTGGATGTTGGGGTTTGGGGACATTGGGGGTGTTGGGGGTGTTGGAGGTGTTGGGGACGTTGGAGGTGTTGGGGACATCGGGAGGGTTGGGGACTCTGGGGTTTGGGGACATTGGATCTGTTGGACATTGGGGTTTGGGGACATTGGGGGTGTTGGGGACATGGGAGGTGTTCGAGGTGTTGGGGACATTGGAAGGGCTGGGGACATTGGAGCTGTTGGGACATTGGGGTTTGGGGACCTTGGGGGTGTTTGGGACATTTGGGACATTGAGGTGTTGGGGACATTGGGGACAGTGGAGATGTTGGGGACATGGGAATTTGGGGACATTGGGGGATTTGGGGACATTGGAGGTGTTTGAGGTGTTGGGGACATTGGAGATGTTGGGGACATTGGAGATGTTGGGGACATTGGAGGTGTTGGGGACATTGGAAGGGCTGGGGACATTGGGGACACTGGGGGATGTTGAGGACCCTGGGGACATTGAGGTGTTGGTGACGTTGGGGACATTGGGGGTGTTGAGGACAATGAGGACATTGGGGACATCGGGGGGATTGGGGACATGTTTGAAGTGACCAAGTAAGAGATGGCTGCGAGCAACTACGACAAGAGGACAGCGTGTCCCTGTCCCCAAAGTGCCACCCCTGATGTCCCCTGATGTCCCCTCGATGTCCCCACAGAGTCCCTGCACTCCTGGGGCTGCGGGGACGGGGAACGGGAGCAGGAATAGGAACAGGACCGGGAATAGGAACAGGAATAAGACCAGGAATAGGAACAGGACTGGGACCAGGGTGTCCCTGTCCCCAAAGTGCCACCCCTGATGTCCCCTGGGTGTCCCCACAGAGTCCCTGCGCTCCTGGGGCTGCTGGGACCGGGAATGGGACCAGGAATGGGAACGGGAATAGGGCTGGGACCGAGAATGGGAACGGGAGCAGGATCAGGAATAGGAACAGGAACGGGATCAGGAGTGGCACCAGTGCGTCCCTGTCCCCAAAGTGCCACCCTGCCATGTCCCCTGGATGTCCCTGCAGAGTCCCTGTACTCCTGGGACTGCTGGGACCGGGACTGGGACCGAGAATGGTACTGGGAGCAGTACCGGGAACGGGAGCGGGATCAGGAATAGGAACGGGACCAGCGTGTCCCTGCCCCCTGAGTGCCACCCCTGCTGTCCCCGCAGAGTCCGTGCGCTCGTTCCTGCGGCAGCGCTCGTGGGGCCGCTGGGACCGGGAGCGGGAGCAGGAGCGGGAGCGGGAGCGGGAGCAGCGCCGGGCTCAGGAGGCGGCGGCGGCGGCCGCGCTCCCGCTCGGTGCCCGCTGCGAGGTGCGGGTGCCCGGCCAGCCCTGCCGCAGGGGCACCATCGCCTTCGTGGGTGCGTGTCCCCTCACCCTGCCATGTCCCCTGGATGTCCCTGCAGAGTCCCTGTACTCCTGGGACTGCTGGGACCGGGACTGGGACCGAGAATGGTACTGGGAGCAGTACCGGGAACGGGAGCGGGATCAGGAATAGGAACGGGACCAGCGTGTCCCTGTCCCCTGAGTGCCACCCCTTGATGTCCCCTGATGTCCCCACAGAGTCCTTGCACTCCTGGGGCTGCAGGGACGGGGAACGGGACTGGGAATGGGACTGGGACCGAGAATGGGACCGGGAGCAGGAATGGGACCGGGAGCGGGACTGGGAATAGGAACGGGACCAGCGTGTCCCTGTCCCCTGAGTGCCACCCCTGATGTCCCCTGGATGTCCCTGCAGAGTCCCTGCGCTCCTGGGGCTGCTGGGACCGGGAATGGGACCGGGACCGGGAATGGGAATGGGACTGAGAGGGGTTTGGGGGGATTTTGGGGGATCCTGGAGGGGTTTCGGGGGGATTTTGGGGGATCCTGGAGGGGTTTGGGGGATTTTGGGGAGGTTTCGGGGTGTTTTAAGGGGTCTTTGTTTCCCACCTCCCAAACTTTTGTCACCCATCCCCAAAATTCCCTTTATCACCCCAAAATTCCCATTATCACCCCAAATCTCTTATCTGCCCCTTATCACTCCCCTATCACCCCCAAATCTCTTCTTTCATTTTTCTCTCCTTTATTTCTCTCTTGTCACCCCAAAATCATTTGTCTCTTCCTTATCTCTCCCTTATTACCTCCAAAATTTCTTATCTCTCTCTTATCACCCAAAAATCTCTCTCCTTTATCTCTCTTTCATCACCCCCAAATTCCCGTTATCAACCCCAAATCCCTTATCTGCCCCTTTTCTCTCCTTTATCACCCCCAAATCCCCTTTTTTCACCCCAAATTCCCCGTTTATCAATGCAAATCCCTTATCTCTCCGTTATCTCCCACTTAACACCCAAAATCCCCCCTTTTCACCCCAAAATCCCTTATCTCCCCCTTATCACCCCAAAATCCCCTTTTATCACCCAAAATCCCCTTTTATCACCCAAAATCCCTTATCTCCCCCCGTTATCTCCCCCTTATCTCTCCCTTATCACCCCCAAATCCCCTTTTATCACCCCAAATCCCTTATCTCTCCCTTATCACCCCAAAATCCCCTTTTTATCACCCCAAATCTCCTTTTTTCACCCCAAATCCCTTATGTCTCCCCTTTATCTCCTGTTATCTCCCCGTTATCGCTCCCTTATCACCCCAAATTCCCCTTTTATCACCCAATATCCCCTTTTATCACCCCAAATCCCTTATCTCCCCCTTATCTCTCCCTTATCTCCTGTTATCTCTCCGTTATCTCCCCCTTATAACCCCAAAATCCCCTTTTTTTCACCCCAAATCCCTTGCCTCCCCATTATCTCTCCCTTATCGCCCCCTAAATCCCTTATCTCCCCATTATCTCCCCATTATCACCCCCAAATCCCCCTTTTATCACCCCAAATCCCTTATCTCCCCCTTATCTCTCTCCCTTATCTCTCCCCGTTATCTCCCCCTTATCACCCCAAAATCGCTCTTTTATCACCCCAAATCCCTTATCTCCCTCCATTATCTCCTGTTTTCTCCCCGTTATCT